TTTTTTTAAGGGTACTAGGAGTACTTGAGCACTTCTAAAATGAAGCTTTATATCCTCAGCTATGTTGTTAGATGCTGCACAAATTACTCCTGCTAAGTCAGGGCGTCTCAACCTTGACACTACTGCCACTTGGGGACAGATAAGTCTGTTGTGGGGGCTGTCCTGTGTGGGACATAGAGCAGCATCCCCAGCTCCTACCCACTAGATGCCAGTAACACTGCTCTCATTATCTCCCCCAGCCCAGTTGTCATGAATAAAAATGTCTCCAGATAGTACCAAATGTACCTTGGGAGGCAAAATTGCCCCTCATTCTGAAAGAACCATTTGGCTCTCAGTTTGGGGGGGAAAACACACCAAAAACACATAGACTCTGCCAGCACCATAAGTACACGGAGAAAGGCCGCAAGAGGCAACTTGCTATTACCAATCCCCATCTGCTTCTAACCAGCAAGGCTTAGGAACGGGTACTGCACTGTCATTCTAAATTAGAAGCGAATGGAGGACTCGACCCAGCTCTCAGGCACAAAAGCGTGGCTCTTCCGTGATGCCCTCTGGATCCCGGTAATGGGTTCCCTCTTATCTACTGCCCCTGAGAACTGCCACACCAGCCTAAACGGAATGATGTCTCCAAAATTTACCTAATTCCTGCGTTTCATTTCAGTGGAGATGAGGTTAAGGAGTTATCCTCTTCATCAGAAATTGGCAAACATTTTCTGGAAAGGACCAGACTAAATATTTTAGGCTTTGTGGGCCATACAGGGCTTGTGGCAACTACTCAACTCTGCATGGAGAGGCACAGAAGCAGCCATAGACAACGTAAACAAATGGACATGGCTTTGTTCCAATAAAACTTTATTCATAAAAGCAGATGGTGGGCCAAGTTTGCCCATTCCCTGACGCCTGCTCTATGTTCACCTTTCAATCTTTCTATCTTTCTCTCTCTCCTCTCCCTTCCTCTCTGAAATCAATAAAAATAAAAAATTTCTAAAGAAAACAAAGCAAGCAGATTTTATGTATATTTAACACAGAAATGAAACATAAATAAAATGCAATTTAATTTTGTGTAAGTATCTGATTTGAGTAGAGATAATTTTCTAAGAAGTTATATGTCTTCTTAACAACATACCTGGTGGGAGATAAAAAATTTTTCATGTGTCCTCCTAAGCTCTCAACTCTGTTATTTCCAATTGTGGGAACTCATCCACTTTTGTTCTACTGGTGAATTCTACCATGTAAAGCTGTGCGGACTATTACGGGATTTATAACACAATTCTCTTATTCCAGATCTGTTGATCTTTTTAAAATATATTTTTTATTGATTTCAGAGAGGAAAGGGAGAGAGAGAGAGAGATAGAAACATCAATGATGCCAGGGGATTTATCATGGATCGGCTGTCTCCTGCATGCCCCCCACTGGGGATCAAGCCTGCAACCCAGGCATGTGCCCTTGACCGTAAAACCCGGGACCCTTCAGTCCGCAGGCCGACGCTCTAGCCACTGAACCAAACCGGCTAGGGATTGCTTTTTCTTATGTTAAATTCTAATCTAAGTCCAAGAGGGTCTCTTGTTAGAAAGCAAAAGTTTAAGAAGTCCGACCTGAGTCTGTTTTAAACCAAAAATGCAGCATGCCGCCCACACTCAGAGATCACAGATTCTGGATGAGGACTCAGAGGTCCCCGAGTCGAGCAGCTCACTGGGAAGAGGTAGGTGCAGACCACACAGACTGGTGGGCAGAATGGTGCAGGGGCTCAGCTACTCGCCAGCTGTATGCCTCCTGACCAGCTAACATCCTTAAGCCTCAGTGTCCTCATCTAGAAAGTGGGCTGATAATCCCTTGCACCTCACACCCTGTTGGGAAGATCATATTTGCAGAGTCCATCGCATAGTAGGTGGCAGAGTAGGTACTTAATGCTGGTTTTCTGACTTCTATCCAGTAAGGCTCCCTTAACCTCCACCCTTAAACTCTCAAGTCCCATCCTCCTTAGCTTGCCCTGCTCCGCATAAGCCTCCTCAGCTCTCTCAAGTCTCTGTAACTAAGCCGATTTCACACACTCAGGGGTCTTGGTAAAGGACTGGGAGCCCCGTTCATCGTCACCCAGGACCTGTCAGGACAGCCATTGCTAATGTTGACTACAGAGCAGGGGGGTCACGGGTCGAGCCTGTTGGTCCTGGATTTAAAGCCCAGGTCGGCACCATGCTGTGCAAAGTACAACTTCTTTGCCTCTCAATTTTTCCATTTGTAAACTGGCCCTAACACTTCCACCTAACGCACCGGTGACGGCGTGAGGATAAGTGAGATGGTGCTATGTCGTGGCAGATAGCCACTGAAGCATGTTAAGGCTTGGGAGGCCCTTGGAGATCTGGCCCAAACCCTTCCTTTGACAAACGTGTTCAGGGAAGTCCAGTGGCCGGACGAGCTGCCCAGGCCGCACACGTTAGCCTCTGACAGCACACGCCTGTTAGTAAATGTCTGTTGGTTTCCACCACTTCCCGCTTCTCACCCCACGGTTACAGACTTCTCTGATTGTATTAGGAGGGGGGAAAAATAAGGGTCCAGCCCTTAAGCAGGCATCGTTCATGCTGCTTGTATTATATGGACAAAAACACCTCAAAGGGAAGAGGCTGCCACTTGGCGAATCGGTGGCAACTCTGTGGCACAGAGAGGCAGAGGCAGGAAGCGTGAGTCAGCACTGATGCGACCATTTGGTCTCTGACATCCATCATTTCCATCCCCCTCTGCCCTGGCCCAAACCTCGGGTGGGAATGGACGCCTCGGAGACCAAATTCAATGTCAGCTGCCCTTGAATCTCAGCCGAGGTCCCATCCCATCTGTCCTGAGCCGAGCAGAAGGCTTCTGCTGACCGGGCAGGCGTGCATGGGCTGCAGGGTTTGACTGACCTGCGAGTAGAAGGCAGACGACGCTGTGCGCGGACTGCGGACAAACTCCATAAAGAAGGCCCCGTCCTGGAGTCAGAGGAGGAGGAGGCAGTGGCGGCAGCAGGTGCAAGAGAGCGAAGGAACGGAATGTGGACCCGTGGTGAGCCATCAGGGGGAGGAGCGGGGGACGGAAGAAAAACAAAAAACGAAAACAAGGAAGGAAGGAGAGAAACAAGGGCTCATGAAGAGAATGGGGGGGAAAGAGAGATCCACCAGGGAAGACAATATCCAAATGCAAAGCACAAGCAGGACTCGCACCTTCTTGGGCAGAGCATCCCGTCACGTGGAAGCGAGCACCTGGCTTAGAAAGTGGGTCCAAGCTCCCTGGGGCCTCCTGGGAGCCCGGCTCAGAGGCGTGCGCCCTCCCACATAGCTCTCGGCTCCCTTCAGGCCTATGCCCAGGGGGAAGGGGAGGCCGGAGAGCAGCTTGGAGGGGGTGGTAGGGAAGGCACTTCAGGGGTCACTTCTTGGCCTCCCACCAGCCTGGGTGACTAGCAGGCCTCTTGGAGAGATACTCAAGGGCTTGAGGCTTTCAATTCTGTCGGTCCCTAAACATGGCAGCCAGATGGGAGAAGAGGGTTCCATGCAGGAAAAGTTTTTGCTTCATTTTCTGAGCAAACAGGGGATAAAGAGGCAGCAGTCCTTTCTCTTCCACAGCCTGTGTGACAATGTCATAATGTCGGATGCACAGGCATTGGGGGGAGCTTCTGAAACCGCCTTCCTCTCCCCACCTGTCCCTGTGGGCCTCAAGTTGCCACGTATTTGAAACAAAAATGACATAGAAGCCCAGGCAGTGTGGCTCAGTGGTTGAGCGCCAACCTATGAACCAGGAGGTCATGGTTCAATTGAGCCCGGGTTGCGGGCTTCATCGCCAGTGTGGGGCATGCAGGAGGCGGCCGACCAATGGTTCTCTCTCATCATTGATGTTTCTCTCTCTCTCCCTCTCCCTTCCTCTCTGAAACAATAAAAATATATTTTTAAAAAATGACATGGAGGACTTTTCCAATGACCCCTCCTTCCACCTTTCTTATGGCTAAGAAGGCCTCTCTCGTCCTGTCAACATGTTTTTACTTTGGATGCATTATCACTGACACGCGATAGATCTGAAGGCCTCTGCTTTCCTACGACCTTCCTTCGATCCCGTCAGCAGAATCACTGAACTGCCTGGCTGTGTTTGATCAATACTGCCGCCATTTCCCACAGGCCACTGGAAACCGGGGAACCGACCATGACAACACGCGCCTGTGGAGATGCAACCTCGGGTCCCCTTCCACGCATCCCAACCCAGACGCTGCCTGGAGACATCGCCAGGCGGTTCTGAGCATGTCAGCCAGGGCTCTTCGCGCTGGCCATCGCATCACACCTGTGCTTCTCCTTGAGGACACGGGAATCCACACCGGGCATGACGGGTGGCCATCCGTCTGGATTTTAGTGTTCAGTTGGAAGAGTAGGAGAGTGTTCTAAATAGCACTCAAATATCGGGTTGTTGCCACATTTTAGCCTGAATGCTGGTGGCTCTATAATTTCTCTACCTTTCAGGCCTGTCCCTGGCACTCTTTCTAACCCTCACAGATGGCAATGAGCAGAGGTCAAAGCGAGGGTACTTTGGGATTCTCCTTGTTCCATCCGGTCCCTTCTCTGCCAGAACATACAGAAGCAGAGGTGCTGACACTGCTGAGATGTAAATACATGCAAGTGAGGATGGGAGAAAAGCTTTTCCTTGACCCACAGGTCATTCCTTACGCACAGACTGTCCTTAGAACTGCACCTGAAGTCACAGCAAACTACAGCCTGCAGGCCACATCCAGCCACTGGCTTATCACAGCCTGTGAGCTAGGAGAGGGTTGTAACTGCTTATGGAAGTACCTATGCAAAAGCCTTGAACTTGCCTCTTGGCCCACAAAGCCTGTATTCCTCAAGGTTTGCCAACCCCTGATCTGCAGATTTTACAAGCTGCCTATAGACTCAGTTATACTTTTTCTCAGATTTTAATCCCTCCATCCTTGTAGTCTAATGCCAGTAATTTATCCTAAAAAAATTACCAGCAATGTGGCCAAATTATTATCTGCAAAGATGCTATTTGCAGTATTATTGATAATTGTAGAATAATTATAAAAATGTATGGAAGAATTTTCAAAAGTTGTTTTTAAAACCAGATGAAAAAAGTAAATTATAAATGAAGGGCCATCCATCTGATGAAATATTCTATCATTATTTTTAAAAATAATTCTTTGGAAAAATAATATGGGCAAATGTTCATGACAGGGAAGTAAAATAAATAAATACCAAGGTGGATATACAATTTGACCACAATTTTGAAAAGAAAATACATCTATTAAATCTCCTTCATTTCTTCTTAATGGAGAGCAGATAAAAGGACATCTGATCGGCTCACCTCCCACACCAGACGATCTCAGGGTCTGGATTTCCCAGAGGCGTGGACAGAGCCAAGGCTACTGGTCTTAAAGGTGTGCGAAGCCCGACTACAGTTCCCACCCCTCTGCTGTGCCTCCTATTCTGCTCAGAGGCCCCAGACTCAGGTTGTGTTTTTTGTGGTTGTTGTTTTCAGGAGTCTAAGCAAACTGACGGGAATTTCATTATCAAAGAGTGAGCTCTCTCATCCTGGACCTTTACTTGTAGATAATTTTAAAAAAAAGAAAAAGAAAAACAGTGAACTCATGGCAGATGCTTCAGGAGCTTCCTACCTGCCCTCCGGGGGAGCCGGAGAGGTGGCTACAGGACAACCAGATGGCCAGTTCCAAGGCTCAAGCCAGGCCCTGGGCCGTGACCAGTACCGTTTAGCCCGACTGCTTTCCATCTGCCTTTACCGAGCAGCCAGCCTCCTTACAGTTCTGAGCAGGAAAGTTCCTCAGTAAAAGTAGTCACGCTGCAAAGGGCGCAACACAGGGCAGACCGGAGTCCTCAGCACACCAGTCCTAGACCCCACCCTTGCCCATTGGGTCGCCCGTTCCCTGCTGGAGTGGCCCCCTTTACCTTTCTCGGGCTGTCCACGTAGGTGGGAGTCATGGCAACGCTGCTGCTGCTCTCGGCGGGCTGGGCGGAGCTCTTGCCACCGTGCACAGCTGCCTGCTGCTCTCCCAGGCACCTGGAAGGACAAACACGCCCGTGGCTCGCTCAGAGCCCCTGAGGAAGGACCCACGGTAGCCAAGATGACACGAAGACAGCGCTGTTGCTGTCATCTTTGTTTTTTGTTTGTGTTTTTTTTTTAAATCCTCACTTGAGGATTTTTTCCCATTGATTTTTAGAGGGAGTGGGAGGGAGAGGGAGAGACAGAGAGAAACATCGATGTGAGAGAGACACTTCGGCTGGTTGCCTCCCCCACACACCCTGACTGAGGTGCTCAAACCTTCAACCCAGGTACGCGCCCTTGACCAGGAATCGAACCCATGACCCTCCGGTGCGCAGGCTGATGCTCTAACCACTGAGAAACACCAGCCAGGGCTCAAAAACTTTTCTTTAAGGTTTTCTAATATCAAATATTTCTCCAATCACCTTCAAAAATTTCTTGGCAGTTTGTTCAAAACAGGACTCAACTAAGGTCCCTACACTGCAATACGCTGTCTCTTAAGTCTCTTTCAAGCTATAAACGCCTTCTTATCGCTCTTGTCCCTGCCATTTATCTGTTGAAGAAAGCAGCTCGCGTGTCCTGTAAACAGACGGCCTGGGAGAGCCGATGGCACCCTTCACTGCGCATCCCGTTCCTCTGGGCCTGCGCTTCCCAAGGCCGAGAGACGATGATGACAGGCGTGGGCAGATCGACGTTCAAGGGCCAGCCTCCTCCCTACGCGCGCGTGTGCTTCTGTCTGGAGGCCCCTCGTCCCTCTCTGGCGACGGCAGTTGCCGCTGATCATCTCTGCTGATCTACGCGTCCATTAGAGCCCACACATGTGATGTGCTATCATCCGTCCCCAGCTATTCCCTGGAATACTGAGAAAAAGAAAACTTCCCCACACCAATGACTTGCTACTCTGGGGTGCAGTTCATACAGGAAAAGCGGAACAAGTGCTGGGTTCCTTCCCTTGTCCCCTCGCATCACTGTCTGCCTCCTCCTGCCACACAGCCCCCCCTCCCCCTCTCACTGTGTGGTTTCTTCTGAGCCCCACATGTGATCACACACTGTGACATTCCCTTGGGTAGGCCACGGCCGGGAGAGCAAGGCCAGGAAGTCTTGGCTACCCACAGAGGCCTCACCTGATGCCCATGTCAACCCCCATTTACTGAGCTGCCGTCCGGCCCGTGGACTAGCAATCAGGGATCCAGGGACCCTGTCCTTGCCCCTGGAGGCTCCTTGTCTAATGGCTCAGGGGATGGGGCAGCCACAAAATGACCAGTCACACGTATTGTGCATGTACATATGTGAGAACATGCGTAGGGGCACACGGCCTTCTGCCGGGAGGGCAGCACCAAGGCAGTAACAGCCGCCATGTGGGGGGTCTCTGCTCGGACTCAGCTGTCATCATTGTCCTCATCTACAGGAGCAGCGAAGCCTGCTGCTGGGTACCTGCTGCCCAGACGGCTCACGGCCACGCTGCTCATGGGCCCAAGGCCAAGATCCCCGGGGCCGCCGCCTTCCAGGAGGGCCTGACTGAATGGACACGCCTCCGAGAAAGATGGGAGGGAAGTGGAAGAAATAAGCACAGTTATGCTGGGATGGCAGGACTACAGGGGACATTTAAAAATTATTTTTCATGCCTGGCTGTGCTGGCTCAGTGGTTGAGCATCGACCTATGAACCAGGAGGTCACGGTTCGATTCCTGGTCAGGGCACATGCCCGGGTGGTGGGCTCGATCCCCAGTGTGGGGTGTGCAGGAGGCTGCCGGTCAATGATTCTCTCTCATCATTGATGTTTCTGTCTCTCTCCCTCTCCCTCTTCCTTCCTCCCTGAAATCAATTTAAAAATTATATTTAAAAAAATTCTTTTTCATAATAAACAAAGTTGGGTCAGCTTGGGGCAGGAAATTAAAAAAGCACACAAATGAAAAACGCTGTGTGAGCAAACACTGTACGAAGGTCTGCTCCCTCTGTTCTGCCTCCAGCACTGAGAGAACGCACCACGTCACAGAACAGTCCTCGGGAAGGTGCGGATCTCGCCTCTCTGTCCTGCCTCTTGCTCTGGGGCTAGCTGAGTCTCGGCCCTCACACGGGACCCCTCCTCCCCCCACAAGCCATTCTTCCTCTTCCAGGCTGAGCAGAAGCAGGCTCCTTGGAACGTCCTGAATGGTGACTCACTGACACATTAAAATAAGACCCCCCACCCCCAGCTTCACACCCTTCCCAGCAACATATGCTCCTTGTTCTTTTTTCCAGCAGGAAAGGCCTACGACTAGTTGCAGGGAGAACCTGCCAGGCAGGGTCCTGGGGACTCTCCTTGGGCACATGAAGGTATTTTTGGAAGAGGACCCCTCAGTCCTGAGCCCAGCCCCTCCCAACTCTCTTCCTCTCATTTGCTCCCCGTCAGCCTGCTATGTTCTCCATGTCCCCACCTGGATCCCTTCCTTCCCATGTCACCATCACCGTCCCCCACCTCTGCATTCTCGCCTGGGCCAGTGAGAGCCCACCCATGGGCCCCTGCCTCCTGGGCCCACCCACCGGGCCTTCCTACACGTGGGGCTCAGCTCTGAAAACACCACTTCTGGCAAAGACACTGAAGGGCTATTTCATGATGTTAAGGGATTGCTGTAACTTTTTAGGTAAATAATGGTATCACAATTTTGTTTTGCTTTAAGAAAGAGTACTTATTTCTCAGAGACATACTGAAATGTTACAGAGGAAGGGATACATGTGTGGGATTGAATAAGAAATTAAAAAGGAAGATGAGAGCAAGTGGGATATAAATGAAACGAGATTGGCCATGAGATGATAACCAGTGAAGCTGGGTGATGGGTAAATGGGGAGTTATTATACCAGCCTGTCTATTTTTTTTAATCTGTCTGAAATTTTCCATGAAAATAAAAGGCCTTTTAAAGGATCGTTCTTGCTAAGGTAAGGACAGCCTGAACCCAACTTCCCACGCAGCCTTTGTAATGGCATCTCCCACTCGGCCTCATCCTCACTCCATGTCACTTCCTGGAAGCTGAATGGATGCGGGCTCCTGCTGGGACCCTCACACCAGACACAGATGGTCTAGTCCCCCATAACATCGCGTCCAGGGACCCCTGCATCCCTTTCTCCATCATTCACATCTATTGTCCACCTACTACGTGCCAGGGACAGCACACAGCCTCTGTCCTCAGCGCACAGAGTAGTCGAGAGAAGATGAGCGAACCAGGGGCGGCCTGGAAGAATACTGACGGACACAGGCCCAGGATTCCGGGAAGCTCCGAGGCTCCCTGACCTGGCTGGGAGAGTTAAGGGGGCACAGGAACTGCTCTGTCATGTGACATGTAATCCTAAACTTGTCTAAACCCACAGAATGTACAACACCACGAGAAAACCCTGAGGTAGATGAACTATGCCTTTGGGTGACTATGTGTCGATGTAGCTTCATCAGTTGTAATAACTGTACCACTCTGGTGGGGGATGCTGATGAATGGGGGAAGATATGTATCGTATATGTGTGTATGGGAAATCCCTGGACCTTGCACTCAATTTTGCTTTGAACCTAAAACTGTTCTACAGAATAAATTCTACTAAAAACAAAACAAAACAAACAAAAAAAATCAACCAACCAAACAAAACCAAAACCCCTCTCTGGGCCACTAAGTGTAGCTGGAGCCTCTCTCCGCCCAGGCACTTACTTCTGGCTGGCCTCCATCTCCAACAGGGCAGACAGGGCCGAGGTTCCCTTCTTCCCAACCGGGGGGCCGGCCGCCTCGAGGGAGTGCGTGGAAATGGGCCCCGCCATCTGTAAGCCTTTCATGGCGGCCCCTTTCTGAAGCAGAGAAAAGAGACAAGGCATCAGCCCCAGGGGCCCCTCAGTGGAGGCATGACGCTGAGGGAGAGAAGGCAGCTCCGAAGGGTCACATATTGTGTGATTCCATTCATAGGACATTTGGAAAAGACGAAAAGCGTAGTGCTGGAGAACAGGCCACCGGCTGCCAGGCATGAGAGATGAGGGGAGAAGGTGGCTATAAAGTAGGGGTGGGGAACCTTTTTATTTACAACATCATTCGAGGGCCACACAAAATTATCAACTTAAAAATTAGCCCACTCGATTTGGTCGAACATTTAATGAACTTCTAATGCCTTGGCAGGGCCCGACCAAATGATTTTGAGGGCCTTATACTGCTCGTGGGCCGGACGCTCCCCACCCCTGCTACACAGGGTGGCATGAGGGAGATTTTTTTTGAGTAATGGAAACTATTCCCTATCCTGGAATCTCCTGGAGTCTCCTGGAGGGGTCCCTGAGATATGAGGAGACGGTTCCCAAATCCCAGACCAAGCGCCGTCCCCAAGGGGCCCCGGAACCCTCACCCGCATCATGCGATCTGAGCGGTGGCGCCGGCGGATGCGGTTCAGGCCCTCCACGAAGCGGATAAAGCCATCCAGCAGCTGCCACTCCTCCTCGTCGGCCCGGGGCCGGTCCCCATAGATGTCGCAGTGGGCTTCGCCCTCCGTGATGCGCTTGGTGGCAGTGACACAGGCGGGCAGCAGCAGGAAGCGGGTCCTCCAGAACTTCAGAGACTCGATTAAGCTGTGGAGGAGCCAAGAAAAGGGGGTGGTGGTGAGAAAAAGTAGATCATGAAAGCACCATCTCAACCCTCTCCCCGAAGTTGATGTGTGAGGGACCCTCTCCCCATGATGTGCCACAATTCAGGGGGCTTCACTCACAACACAAGCTGGCTGTATGCCAAAGATAATTAAAAAATAAATTCTGAAAAAACAAAAGAATCGACCTCAAGGTCACGGTTCGATTCCTGGTCAGGGCACATGCTCGGGTTGCGGGCTCGATCCCCAGTATGGAGTGTGCAGGAGGCAGCTGATCAATGAATCTGTCTTACCATTGATGTTTCTATCTCTCTCTCCCTCCCCCTTCCTCTCTGAAATCCATAAAAATATATTTTAAAATAATAACAAAATAAAAATTTTAAAACCCCACAAAAACACAAGCTCAGGAGGAGGAACTGGAAGATTGCATTTGCTTATTGTTCCCAGAGATGCCAGAATGCTTCTGTGCGTCCGGCCCGGGGGCGTTGTGGCTTTTTAATCCCCGCAGTCATAAATCACACAGAAAATTAACAGCAAAGCACCACAAAGTGGTCAGGAAAACGTTAAGAGAACATGACCTGCACTGACATTCCACCACCAAGTTTTCTGGCTGTTTGTTTTTAGGTGGTAAAATCTACGTAGCAAAGTCTACCAATTTAATGACGGTTACGTGTCCATTTCGGTGGCATTAAGCACATTCCCACGGTTGTGCAACCATCACCACCATCCATCCCATCATTGAGTTTTTAACCCAAATGCAGACGTGCTTTTGTTCTTCCAGGTTCTTCTAAAACCGACATCATTTTGTAATCAAAGGCCGGAAGCGTTAAAATATGGATACACCCAAAGAACTTGTATGCATACATGCATAACCCATGGACACAGACAATAGGGTGGTGAAGGCCTGGGGCGGGCTGGAAGGGTCAATGGGGGGAAAAGAGGGACATATGTAACACTTTCAACAATAAAGATTTAAAAAAAAAAATAATAATAAAATAATAAATGACTAAATATTGTTTAGACAAAAACAAACAAAAAATATGGCTACACCCAAGGTGGCCCAATGGAAAGCCGAAGCACCCTCCGACCTGAAGTCCTCCGAGCCGGCGGAGCAGATGTACTGATCTAAGTAGTTCCACTTGTACTCCTCCAGCCGTTCGTGGGAGAATTCCACCCAGCAGGACACGAACTCCGAGTCCGAGTGGGAAGGGCACAGGCTGTAGGTGTAGTGGATCTGGGCCGATTCGTAAGGGTACCTGAAACAAAACGGCCCGGCCGGAAGTCCAACAGAGAACCTTCCCCGATTCCTCCCTACCTTTTCCAAAACACTTAGCACCCTCTTCAGCATTCAACCACCTCATCCCCGGGGGCTGGCAAAGGAGATTTCTCAGATCTCAACTTTCTCCTCCTTCTCTCCTCACATTCTTCATTTTCACTTGGCTTTTTAAGAATCAGGCGAAACGTTATAAACGGAATCAAATCCCTTTTGGAAGTCTGGGAGCTATAACCCTAACATAACCCTAGGAAACAAAACAGTAACTCCAGAAGAGGACAACACTCACTCCAACGCCTCCGTGTCAACTGCGTGTGACACATGTAACTGAGTATGTGGACAGCATGTGGACACAACGCAGGACAGGAGCTGGAGACCTGACCTGTCCCAGGACTCACTTGGGCAGGTAGCGCGTCACTGTGATCATCTTGTCCTTCAGGGTCACTTTGTGGAACGTGCGGCCCATGCTCAGCCAGTACTGGTCCTCCTCCTCAGGGCGGTTTCGGGACACCAGGCCTGAGAGAGGAAAAAAAATCATTTTCTACATGTGGTTGCAGGTCATTCCATTAACAGGCAATTGCCTCTCTTCCGTATAGATTCAGAAAAGGAGAGACAAAAGAGATACTTTCTTTGGAGGGTAGTTTCATGAAAAAGTGTTATCCTTTGGTAAAAAAAAAATGTTAAAGTCCTGAAGTTAGCAGATTTTTCCGTTATGAACCAACCAGCTACAGATCAGAGCCTGGGGCTGCTGATAGCACCTGGATGACACACTCAAAGCCGAACAGCTGGCGTGGCTCAGTGATTGAGCATCGACCTAGGAACCAGGTCATGATTCCATTCCCGCTCAGGGCACATGCCCGGGTTGGGGGCTCGATCCCCAGTGTGGGGCCTGCAGGAGGCAGCTGATCCATGATTCTTTCTCATCATTGGTGTTTCTATCTCTCCTTTTCCCTTCCTCTCTGAAATCAATACAAATCTATATTTTTTTAAAAATGAAGCTAAAATAGACCCGGTACTCAGAAAGGTTCCTATTCAGTAGAGTCCAGAATAGGAAAAGAAGGCAACACGTGATAAAGATCACAGGGGGCTTTCAAGGAAAATCCAGAGGGAGTCTGAGGCTTCGTCATCAACAACGGGGCCTGGACCGGGTGACCACCGAGCTCCCTCTAACAAAACCACACTTCTCTGATCCTCTGGCCAGGGGTGGCTTAATGGAGCCAAAGACAAGCGGAGATTTTGAGCTGGGTGGCTCGGGGAACAGGGGTCTCATTAGCTAGACGGAGGAAGCAGAAGATTAATGGTTGCTCATCGATTGTTCCAGGAAGTGACCGCTGCTTTCTGATTCCAGGCACCCGCACTTAATTTTCTCTGCCTGCGTCACTTTAGAAGGGCTCTTCAGCGCCTGGCTCCAAGTCAGCCGGCGTCACCCAGTCTCTGCCACTGATTAGCCCCTGTCACTCACAGATGACCCCCCCATTCTTGCTCCAAGTCAGTAAGTGTCAGTGATAAACAAGAGATGACTCCAGAATAGAGAAAAAAAAAAGAAAGTATAAGCTTCAGGTTTAGGTGACATCTGAGAGCCTGCCGTCTGCCAGGCACCATGTCAGAAACAAATGCAAGTTTCTGGGTCTAGAATAGTCCCTGCGAACTCTAACATCTCAGTCACAGCTCAGCAGAGGTGTCGCCCAAGCCAGGCTATGACATTCCTGAACTTGGCCATTATCTTCCTTAAAAGCATAGCTATAAATGAGAGTTTTAGGCTAAATCTGTGCCTAGTGGAGACTTTATTCCTCCTGTAAAGTAAAATTTAGGGGGGAAAATTTGTGTTGAAAAACAATTACTCCTAGCCGTACTGGTGTGGCTCAGTGGTTGAGCATCGACCTATGAACCCAGAGGTTACTGTTCAATTCCTGGTCAGGGCACATGCCCAGGTTGCAGGCTCCATCCCCAGTGTGGGGCGTGCAGGAGGCAGCCGATCCATGATTCTCTCTCATCATTGATGTTTTTCTCTCTCTCTCCCCTCTCCCTTCCTCTCTGAAATCAATAAAGATATATTTGAAAAAGAGAAAAGAAAAATAATTACTCCTAAATTTATCTATTCCCTACCGTCTTGAGAGTCTACTTGCACAAATGTAGTAGAAAAGAAAAAATAGAGCCCTAGCCGGTTTGGTTCAGTGGATACAGCTTCGGGTCTGTGGACTAAAGGGTCCCGGACCCTCCAATAAAAATGTATTTTTAAAAAGTTACATATATATATTTTAAAAAGAAAAAATATAAGTGCAAGGAGAACTCACCTCGGCTGTACAGGGGGCTGCTGCTCAGTGGGGGTGGGACGGCGGGGTTGGGTTTCTGCGCCTTGGGCTGCACTATGATCTGATAGCCCTGCATGAGACGCTGGCAGATGAACTCTTCGAACACCTGCTGGGCCGTCATCTGCACACCCTCCTCGTCCCTCCTGAAAAAGCCAACGATTGCTCACACGCATATGCTTAGCCCAGGGCGGAGTGACACGCGGAGTCCACACTCCCATCCTCTCCTTCGCTTCAACCCCACAAGCCAGCCCTGATAACCATTCCACGGTGGTTCATAAAACTAACAGTCTATAAATCCGTTCTGGGAGAAATGATCGGTTCAAGAGGTGGAAAAAGAAGGCAGGTAATTCGATGCCCAAATGAATAGTCTTAGAAAAGAAGATCCGAACAACTGTCACAGAAAACATGAGAAGGGATCAATGAGGGGAAATGGTTAAAGGAGGCGGGTCAACAGAACTCCAAAGAAAAATAGACAGCCCAGCTGGTGTAGCTCAGTGGTTGAGCATCGACCTATGAACCAGGAGGTCGGGGTTCAATTCCTGGTCTGGGCACTTGCCCGGGTTGTGGACTTGATCCCCAGTAGGGGGTGTGTAGGAGGCAGCCGGTCCATGATTCTCTCTCTTCAGTGATGTTTCTATCTCTCTCTCCCTCTCCCTTCCTCTCTGAAATATATATAT